GAGAGCAAACTATTCACTAGCAGTGAACAGCATTTATGTTGTAATAATGTAATAATTCTTGGTTAAATTCTTCTTCTTTTTTTTTTTTTTTTTGGGGGGGGGGTCAGTCGTGGGGCCTGAACTCGGCCTGGGCGCTGTCCCTCAGCTCTTCAGCTCAAGGTTAGTGCTCTTGAGCCACAGTGCCACTTCTGGCTTTTTTCTTTTTTCTTATGTGGTGCTGAGGAATTGAACCCAGGCCTCATGCATTCAAGGCATGCGCTGTGCTCTACCACTGAGCCACCTTCCCAGCCCTAACCAAGAATTCTCTTTTTTTTTTTTTTTTTTTTGGGGGGGGGGGGGGGTCCGGTCATGGGGCCTGAACTCTGGGCCTGGGCACTGTGCCTCAGCTCTTCAGATCAAGGCTAGCGCTCTACCACTTGAGCCACAGCGCCACTTCCAGCTTTTTTCTTTTTGCTTATGTGGTGCTGAGGAATCGAACCCAGGGCCTCAGGCATGCAAGGCAAGCGCTCTACCCCTGAGCTACCTTCCCAGCCCCCAAGAATTCTTATATACCTGCACCAAGAAGGAAAATAGTACCTCATCTGCCATAACAAAAAGTCAATAGGTATTATCTAAAATACAGCAATTTAGACATATTTTACAAACACAAAGGTAAAGATCAGGAGAAAAAGCTTAAAGGAGTTTTCAAAATGAGTTACCTCAGGTCCATATTAAAAAGTGGGAATTGATGGAAGTGTAGATCTGGTTCAAGTGCTAGATCACCAGCATTTACGTGAAAAAAATCAAGTAAGAGTGTGAGGCCTTGAGTTCAAGCCCCAGTACCAGCACGCGCGTGCACACACACCCACGCATGTACACACACGTGCGCGCATGCACACACACACAGTGGGAATGGGTAAGGCAGGGTATTTTATTGTTTTTAATCTTATTTTTTATGTAGTACTATTTTCTAACAATATACAAGTGTTAAATGAAGAAGAGATAACAAACAAATCATCAAAAGAAATAAGGCCAGACATAATGGCACATAGCTGTCAAGTAATCTAAAGGCTAGGTTATCCTAATAAGTAAACAGCACTTTTTTAGACCTTCCTTCCTCCTTCTCCTTGGAAGATGGAGCTAGAACTCCAGCAGCTATATTAGACATAGAGATCAAGGGCCATACATAAGGGATGACAGAGTAAGAAACTGCAAAGAAGTTAAGTCCCTGATAACAATGGCCCTGTCAAACCAACCTCCTGTTGTCACTTTGAACTTCACACGAGAAACAAACTAATAGCATGTTCATGCTATTATTTTTCAGGTCTCTGTTACATATGACCAAACCTAATCCTTACTTAATCAGGCTTTGAAAGTACTCTTAAGAGGGGCTGGGAAGGTGGCTCAGTGGTAGAGCGCTTGCCTTGCATGTATGAGGCCCTGGGTTCGATTCCTCAGCACCACATAAGCAAAAAGAAAAAAGCCGGAAGTGGCGCTGTGGCTCAAGTGATAAGAGTGCTAGCCTTGAGCTGAAGAGCTGAGGGACAGCGCCCAGGCCCAGAGTTGAGGCCCCATGACCGGACCAAAAAAAAAAAAGAAAAAGGAAGATTGTATGAAGTATTCTGAAGGAGATTCTATGACACCCAGGCTCCAGATCTTAGGAGGCTAAGATCTGAGGATTGCAGTTCGAAGCTGGCCCAGGCAGGAAAGTCTGTGGCATTCTTATCCCCAATTAACCACTAGAAATAACCTCCAAAATTGTCCACATCTTAATCTGTGGAGCCTGCAAAATGGGCCTCAGAGGTATGATTAAACCAAGCACCATTTATTTACGTATTTATTTATGTCGGTTGTGGGGCTTGAACTCTGGTACTGTCCCTGAGATCTTCAGCTCAAGGTGAATGCTCTCCCACTTGAGCCCAACAGTGCCACTTCCTGTTTTCTGGTGGTTAATTGGAGAGTCTCACAGACTTTCCTGCCTGGACTGACTTCGAACCTCGATCCTCAGATCTCAGTCTCCTGAGTATCTAGGTTTACAGATCTGAGCCACCGGCACCTGGCTGCAAGGACCTTTTAGAGGGGGCGAGTAACCTGGGTTGTTCAAGCAGACCTCTATACAATTACATGGATCCTTAAAAGCAGAACCTTTCCCTAGCTGTAGTCAGAGGAATGACAACAGAAGAATGATCAGAGAGATGCATCAATGATGACTTTGAAAACTGAGGAGAGGAGCCACAAGCCGAGGAGAGTGGTAGCCTCTAGAAGCTGGAAGAGGAAAGAAAATTGATTCTCCCCTAGAAATATCCAGAAAGGAACACAACCTTGTTGATACACTAATTTTAGCCACTGAAATAATTTTAGATTTCTACATTTCTAAATTTTCTAAATTTGTGGTTATGTGTTTCAGCAGTCATACAAAACTACGGCACACATTATTAAACGACTGGTTGATTGGCTGGGTTGCTTTTTCTTTTTTCTTTCTTCTTTGCGGTATATGCGTGTGTGCTGATACTGAGGATTGAACTCAGGGCCTCTAGCTCTTGCTTGGCTTTTTCACTAAAAAATGGCTGGTGCTTTTATCACTTGAGCTACATCTCCAATCTAGCTTTTTTGCTGATCAATCAGGATAAGGATCTCCCAGATTTCTCTGCCTGGGTTAAGATCCTCAGATCTTAGTCTCTTAAGTAATTAGGATTACAGCCCTAAGCCTCTGGCACTTAAGATTTTTCTTTTGCATTTTTTGTTTTTGTTTTTTTGAGGCAATATCTTCTAATGACACTAAATGATGGTAACAATCAATTACTTGTATATTTTACAGTATATTTCTCCTACCCTCACAAAACTTCACTCATTAAAAACCAGCCAATGTGACAATTCCTTTAAGTTTCTGCAGAGAATGAGACATATTAATCAACACACACACACACACACACACACACACACACAAAATCAACAGTCAGGCCAGGATCTACTGGAAAAATCAAGAGACCAATAAACTATAATTTTCAGAGCCAAGTATAAAAAGTGTTTGCCTTGTAGCCAATAAATATTATTAAAAGCCTGGCTAGGGGCTAGGAAGGTGGCTCAGTGGTAGAGCGCTTGCTTTGCATGCCTGAGGCCCTGGGTTCAATTCCTCAGCACCACATAAGCAAAAAGAAAAAGCCTAAGTTGCGCTGTGGCTCAAGTGGTAGAGCGCTAGCCTTGAGCTGAAGAGCTGAGGGACAGCACCCAGGCCCAGAGTTCAGGCCCCATGACTGGACCACCCCCCCCAAAAAAAAAAAGTCCTGGCTACTGATAGTAAGAGCTTGCAAGTAATTTTGGTAAGTGTGAGAATTGTTCATCTCCTACAGATATACACGGAAATAATTACAGATGAAATGGTAAACAAACAATTTGCTTTAAAATAATTAGGAGTAGGAGATCAGAATGGATAGGGATAAAGATGAAAGTAAATTTGCATGTGTTCACTATTCTTGGAACTAGGTAATGGGTACATAGAAGTATGTTATTTCACTAGTTGGTTTGGTTTTTATGCAGTGCTTTAAATCAAACCCAGTCCCTGATAAATGAATGCTAGACAAGTCCTCTACTACTGAGCTACACTTACATCCTGCTTGAACCTTTCTATATTTGAAAGGTACAAAAATAAAAAAAAACCTTGACCTATTAAAACAGTAGACTCCTAATATACACCTGTAATAACAACAGACTTAAAAGCTGAATCCTCTTCCTTGTGGTACTGGGTATGGAATCCAAGGCTTTGCAACATGCTAGGAAATCATTTTACCAATAGGCTATGTTCCTAGACTAGAATCCCCTTCCTATTAACACTGCCTTATCTAATTTCTCTGCCACTTAATACACTGGAAACTGATTGTTTTGTCACTTACTCTTTAATCTCAACTCATTCTGCCATGTTTACTAATTTTATGAGCTTAAGGAAGATTTTAAATCTCCAACAGGGAAGAATGGAATATCCGTATTTGCCAGTCTACTTGACTTGCCAAAAGGACTGTCTAAGATTAAAAAACAAACAAAAATCCAAAGCAAGATAGTCATTCTAGAAATGCATGTTCATAAACTTCATCTTCAGCACTTGTAGTTCTCCCAGTTCTAGACCTTCTAGAAGTGCCTTACACTGCTAGTTCCTTGAGCCCTCTCCTCATCAACCCAAGTAGCTAAGATTCTTCCTCTCCATCACCTCCATCCCCATTTAACTATTTCCCATGCCAACACCTTCTCTCCACAGGGCATCTTCACCCATCTCCCCTCAGGACTTTCAAGCACCCACTCAATCTGCCCCCAGGCAATCTTTCCCAGGTCCTGTCTTTGCAGGACAACCTTTCCCCTTTTCCGGTCCTTGGATCCATTTTATCACCCACCATCTCCAAATCCCACTATTACCTCCAGTTCACCAACACCCACCTTTTATCCTTCACTTAAAACAGTCAATCCATGGAGACAGAAGACAGACAGCTGCAGAAGCTGGGGGCGGGGGAGGGGGGGAGGGGCGGTGAGGGAGAGGGCTTGAGCAGTGACTAAAGGGTAGGCGCCTCTTTTGGAGGCATGCACATGTTCTGGAACTGGTGAGGTTGCACGATCATGTGAAACAAAAAAATAATAATAAAATAAAAAAACACGGAGTTGTACTTTTTTAGTGTGGATTTTACAGTATGTGAATTACATCTCAATAAAAACGTGTCTGTCCACACACAAAACACCAGTGCTCACCCAGCCCACCGTCACACGCCCATTTGTCAAATTAACATCGCCCGTCTCCGGAAGCATCGACTCCTCCCCTCGGTATCCCGCCAATCCCACGCCCAGACTCGAACCCGGAGCTGTCCTCGGTGGTCTAACACGCCCCCTCGACACGGCCCGCAGGGGCGCGGGGAGGGCCCGCGCGGCAGCCCAGCACAGCCCCTCGGGCAGTCCCCTCGGGGACCAGACCGGCCCCGCACCTCGGAGGCACCGTCCAGGGGCAGAGCGGGGGCGGGACGGGGCGGGGGCGCCGAGCCCACCTGTGTCAGCCTGCGGGGAGCTCCGCGTCCAGCCCCGCGGACGGCGGACTGAGGACGGACGGGAGTGCAGAACGTCAGAGAAGCGAGGTCGCGCTGCAGACCGGGTGGCGAACACCGGTTCAGGCCTCCATGTTTCCACGTCTCTGCGACTCCGGCTCCGGGTGTGACTGGGCTCTGGCCGAGCTCCAGTCACGGCCCGCGTAGATGCGGAGGCCGGGAGGCGGGGAGAGAAGAGGGAAGCGACCGAGAACGCGGCTAGAGACCGAACGGCCGGGCGCATGCCAGTGGGCGGCCCCGTGGCGCGCCGTGCGCCGGGCTTTCTGGGAAATGTAGTCCATCGGGCGTTGCTAGGCGGTTTCCACCCTCCCTGTCTCCTGGCAACCTCCAAGCCACGTGGCAAAGTTAGAAGCTGCAAAACCTTCTTCCTCTCAGATGCTAGAGTGCCTTAACTTTATTAGGACCCCTGTTACTTCCAGCTGAATAACCATCCCAGAGCCAAGTAATTCCTTATGGGTCTCTGAGCAACTGAGAACAGGAAAGTAAATATTCACGGAGGCAGCTGGAAGGTTTAGACCTGCCAGCAATATAATGGAGACAGACCCTACAGGAAGAAGAATCAGTTGAAAGTTTCTGTTGGCTTGTTTGTTTTTAGTCTTTGGATATAAGGGCTTTATACATGCTGTGCACTTGCTCTACCAACTGAGCTAAATCCTTAGCTCAAATTATGAAATAGGAGTCAAATGAACTGAAGTTACCAGATTGACATCTTGAGCAATACTTTATCTCTTCTAATCAGTTTCTTCTGAAGATGATGATTGCTGAAGGCATAGTTATTGATAATCATTCATATTATGGGTTGTTTTCTACTTCCTATGCAATATTACGATGTTTATTTCCCCAAATAACACTATGAAACAGCTATCACTATTTTTTATTTATTTATTTTTGTCGGTTATGGGGCTTGAATTCTGGGCTTGGGCGCTGTCCTTCAGCTCTTCAGCTCAAGGCCAGCGCTCTACCACTTGACCTACAGTGCTACTTCCGGTTTTCTACTGGTTTATTGGAGATAGGAGTCTCATGGACTTTCCTGCCTGGGCTGGCTTTGAACCGTGATCCTCAGATCTCAGCCTCCTGAGTAGCTAGGTTTACAGGCGTGAGCCACTGGCACCTGGCAGCTATCACTATTATTTCCATCATATAGTCAATATGTGCCAATGTTCTGTGTAAAATACAAATACAGATAGTAAATATTCTACTCCAATATCAACTGCCAGTAAATTCACTGAAGTTGAAGAATTAGAACAGAAAACATATAAAATGCAAGTTACCTGAGAACCTAACAAACAGAAGTGGGCTCCCTAGGAAGGTGAGTGAGGATAAATGTAATAGAAGTAGATTATTTGCATGTATGAAAATAGAATAATGGAACCTATTGGAATTGTTTTAGGAAGGAAGGAAAGACAGGAGATTAATTGAAGGGGTGAAATTGACTGGAATACATTTTATACCTATGGAAATATCACAATGAAATCCTCTGATTTCTTTCACTTTTTAAAGTTTCCACAGCCTCCCAAAAGCCCTATAGTCTGAGGGTTAAATCTTTAACCTGTGGACCTATAGAGGATATTTTAGAGTCAAATCATAACGATCAGCTTTAAATTAGGGATATTTTGCCACTATTCTTTGGCAAGTTTCATAATGTTGCTAAGCATCCATATAATTCAGAGGATAAAATGAGAAATGGTTTTAGTAGTATAGGAAGCTTGTTGGAATTATAGGTGGAGTTATAGCTAACGTAAAAAGTATTATTCTTGCTTACCAACTTTCAATACTAACTGTAGAAGTATGTTGATAAATTTAATAAACTTGATGACTTCAGGTACTGCAGAAACACAGTTTCATGAAAACTTTCCACAAATTGCAATGAGATACTTTGGATTGGATCCTGGAATCAACAAAAGCAATATGCTGGAGGCAGGTCTCCAATGGTAGAGTGTGCCAGCTGAACAATCATGAGGCTATGGTTGAGGACTGTTGAAATCTAAACAGAGCATTGCACCAGTACTCATTTCCTAATTTTGACAAATATGCCTTTATTATGTATGTTACTGTTAAGATGGAAGATGGTAAGAGACTAGGAACCTGGTCCTCTAGAAGTTGTATGGGGAGGTGGGGAATCACATTACCTTCTAGAGCCTCTAGAGACATACATACACAGCCTTACCGTACCATTTTAGTCTAATGAGTCCATAACAGACTTCAGCAGACTACACAAGTATAATACTTATGTGCTTTGATAAGCCACTATATTTCTAGCTGTGTGTTATAACAGCAACAAAATCACATTCAAAAAAATTTAAGTATAGGGCTGGGAAGGTAGCTCAGTAGTAGAGTGCTTGTCTTGCATGCATGAGGCCCTGGGTTCAATTCCTCAGCACCATATAAGCAAAAAGAATAAAGCCAGAAGTGGCGCTGTGGCTCAAGTGGTAGAGCACTAGCCTTGAGCTGAAGAGCTGAGGGACAGCACCTAGGCCCAGAGTTCAGGCCCCACGACTGGACCCAAAAAAAAAAAAAAAAAAAAAAGAAAGAAAAGAAAAAAAATTTAAGTATAATCAAAAAGAAGACTTCCAAGCTGGGCACTAGTGGCACAGGGCTGTACTTCTAGTTATGCAGAAGGCTGAGATTTAAGGATTGCAGGCAGGAAAGTCTGTGAAATTCTTTATCTTCAATTAACTACTAAAAAGCCAGAAATGGAGCTGGAGCTTAAAATGGAAGAGTGCTAACCTTGAGCACAAAAGCTCAGGGACACCATCCAGGCCTGGAGTCCAAGTCCCAGAACTGGCACAAATAAATAATTTTTTAAAAGAAAGAAAACTTCCAAATGGTTGCTTATCTTCCCAACACATTTCCTATTTGAGACTTCCTAAGTAACCATAAAACAAGGTGGACACCAGGCACTTGTAATCACACTTGTAATCCTAGCTCCTCAGGAGGCTGAGATGTGAGGATCACAGTTCAAAGCCAGCTAGGACAGGAAAGTCCATGAGATTCTTATCTCCAAAAACCACCAGAAAACCGGAAGTGGAGCTGTGTCTCAAAGTGGTAGAGTGCTAGCCTTGAGAAAAAGAGCTCAGGGGCATCACCCAGCCTCATGACTAACAGAAACCAACAAACCAACAAAAAAACCTAAGATAGGTACTGATGACTTGTACCTATAATTATAGCTATTCAGGGGCTGAAATTTAGAAGTTCAAAGCCAGTGTAGTAGAAAAGTCTAACCAGTTTATAACCACAGCCACTCAGTAGACAGAGATAGGATTTTCCCTTTTGTTTTTGTGCCAGTGTTGGGGCCTACACACAGGGCCTCACTCAAGGCTTACATTCTACAACACCTCCAGTTTCAACTTTTTACTGGTTAATTGGAGATAAGAGTCTTCTGGACTTTTCTGCTCAGCTGGCTTCAAACCTCACTCCTCAAATCTCAGTTCCTGAGCTCTGGCACCGGTTGCTCATGACTATAATCCTAGTTACTCAGAAGGTGACCTCTGAGGCTCACAGTTCAAAAACAACCCAGGCAGGAAAGTCCATGAGACTCTTTTTTGTCGGTTATGGGACTTGAACTCTGGGCTTGGGCACTGTCCCTCAGCTCTACAGCTCAAGGCGAGCGCTCTACCACTTGAGCCACAGCTCCACTTCCGTTTTTCGAGTGGTTTATTGGAGATAAGAGTCTCAAGGATTTTTCTGCCTGGGCTGGCTTTGAACCACGATCCTCAGATCTCAGCCTCCTGAGTAAGTAGGATTACAGGCGTGAGCCACCAGCGCCCGGCTCATGAGACTCTTTATCTCCAATAAACCACCAGAAAACTCAAAGTAGCGCTGTGGCTCAAGTAGTAGAGCACCCACCTTTAGCTGAAGACCTGAAGGACAAATCCCAGGCCCAGAATTCAAGCCCAACGACAGACAAAAGCAAACAAAACAACTCAGCTCCTGAGTAGCTAGGGTTGAACTCAAGGTCTGGGCACTGTCCCTGATCTTCCTTTGCTCAAGGGCTAGTGCTCTATTACTTGAGCCACAGGGCCACTTCCAGCCTTTTCTTCTTATATGGTACTGAGGAATTGAATCCAGGGCTTTATGCATGCTAGGCAAGCACTCTACCACTAAGCCATATTCCCAGCCCCTAAAACATGTATTTTCATATAGACCTATCATCTTACCTTTTTCTGTGCGATGATCTATTTAACTTGCTCCCTTACTCCTTACTCCTTCCCTGTCAAATTATTTTTACCCCATTTTGGGGTAAAAAGTGACCATGCTGAAGGGCTGTTTGTATTTAAAGATTACACCGTTGGGACTAGGAATGTGGCTTAGTGGTAGAGTGCTTGCTTAGCATGCACGAAGTCCTGGGTTTGATTCCTCAAGACCACATAAACAGAAAAAGCCAGAAGTAGTTCTATGACTCAAATGGTAGAGTGCTAGCCTTGAACAAAAAGAAGCTTAGGGACAGTACCTAGGCCCTGAGTTCAAGTCCCAGGACTACCAAAAACAAACAAAAAGACACCTAGAGAATGTAACCTCTATTTTTTTTGCCAGTCCTGGGGCTTGAGCTCAGGGGCTGGGCACTGTCCCTGAGCTTCTTTTGCTCAAGGCTAGCACTCTACTACTTGAGCCACAGCACCACTTCTGGTTTTTTCTGTTTATGTGGTACTAAGGAATCAAACCCAGGGCCTCATGCATGCAAGGCAAGCACTCTACCACTAAGCCAGCTTCCCAGCCCCTACACTCCAGGTTTTAAATTCAGTGAAGTAAGGGACATTGATTGGTGAAAACCATGGGATTAAGATCCACTGTGGTAGCTGGGTCCCAATGGCTCATACCTGTAATCCTAGCTACTCAGGAGGCTGAGATTTGAGGATCAAAGTTCAAAGCCAGCCCGGGCAGGAAAGTCCATGAGACTTTTATCTCCAATTAACCACCAGAAAACCAGAAGTAGAGCTGTAGCTCAAGTGGTAGAGGGCTTGCCTTGAACTGAAGAGTTCAAGTCTCATGACCGACAAAAAACAAATCCACAGTGGGCTCTCAACTCTGTGTGTGTGTGTGTGTGTGTCTATGTGAGAGAGAGAGAGAGACAGAATGCTATTGTTAGAAAGACAAGTTATTTTTTTCACCAACTGTTTGAGGTTTTAATTCCTTCCCCAAAACAAACAATAAAACTAGAGTTTCTCTTCTCCAGGGGAGGTCTGTGACAAGCATTGAGCATGGAATAGGACCCAGATGAAAACCACAGACCTGGCCAGAATCTGTATCTCACTCAACCCAGTGAAACCTAAGCAGAGAATCCAACTGAATCATACTGGGACCTCTGACCAACACAAACCAGGGCTTGACAGTCACTTGAACTGACAATTCAGAAGTAGGAAGTCCTGTACAGACCTAGTTGTCAGTGTGAATGAGGCCTTCTAAAATTAGGGAGTGAGTACTTAATACAACTGTGTGCAGCAGCTCTGTTAAAGATTCCTTTCTTATCCTGTTCTAACACCAGGGGCTATGGCTTTTATTTATTTTTCTCCCTTAATGAAATGAAATTGGTTAAATATACCCTAAAGTCTCAACAAGCCCCACATTCCCACATTTGGAGTGTTCAGCATAGTTTTTTGTTTTTAATGGAACACTTCATGAGTTTGCATGTTATCCTTGAGCGGGGCCATACTAATCTCTGTATCAGTCCAATTTTAGTATATGTACTGCTGAAGCGAGCATTCAGTGTAGTTTTTTGAACACTTCTCTATGCACTGGCCATTACATTTCAATAGCTCTGACCTTACCTTCCTACTTCTCCTTTCACTTAAAATTTTGAAACTTTTAACACTTTCCATTTAAACTTATCACTTCCCAATTCTAGGTCTAAATGCTTTAAATGCTTTCCCCTCTGGCTCCCATCAAAGAACCTTCACTATGCCCTTCAGGTCTTCTTTAAGCACTCAGGCCTGAGTTCAATCCCCAGGGCTGGGGAAAACAAAAAAGTTTGTCTTATCATCTTCGACTATTGCTGATTCCTACACACTGAAGAGAAGGCTAAGATGAACACTCCTCCCCATAAGTGAGCTCAGACCAGTTTCCAACTACCCAGCTGAGTCACTATTATATATCATACTAAAATATTCTGCTCTGTGACCTGGTGAGAAATTTCCCTTTCAAGTATCTAAAGACTTCAAAAGAATAATGAACCACCAGTTAAACTGAATGTTTAATGCATTTGTAGGTACAGAAGGAATGCAACAGGATTATAGTTTATATATTAGATGTATATGTAAAAGATGTTTCATTTATCAAGGAATTTTTTCATTTTCATCAGAGCCATAAGCAGCAGGTACTACTCCTATGAGCACTCCATTGCATCTTTTCACATCATTATCATTGTACTATTTCACAGTAAAATTTTTGAAATTAGAACTCTTTAAGTTACAGCAAATGGCAAATTCTTTTGAACAAGTGCTAAAGGACCAAGGATTTTAAGTAGAGGGTCTACAGGCACAAATCTCCTACTTATTCATATTATTAAAACAGTAATAAGGGAATGAGAACTATTTTAATGGAAAAGGAACTCAGAAATGAGGTCATTAAATACAACTAAGTTCATTTTAAATATAAATACCATGTATTTCCTGATTAGTACCAGGTAATATCTAAATTGTCTATCCAGAATTCTGGTCTTAAAGAAAAAGGTCAGATACAACTAAAAAGAAGGTGCTTCATATCATCAGGTCCATTTTTCAAACAACTGAGATCTTTTGGGGAAAATCACATTAGTCTTTCTTTTTATCAGAGATTTCTGTTGGTCCTTTTGTTGGTAATCCATTTGTGTCTGCAGTCTAAAATGGGGAGAAAAAATATATATATATTAAAAATACTTAGTATAAAAGACACTTTCTTTAAAATCACACAATAAATAAGAATAAAGCAATTTTGCTTCAGATGAGAAGGATGGCTATGTTAGCGCAGTTGAACAGTCAACTACAACACAACAAGCATCAACACTAAAAGATAAAGAGCTGTCTAATAAATCTTCAAGTTGGGGCTTGGAACATGGGAGAACACTTGCCTAGTGTGCTCAAAGCCCTAGGTTCAGTCCCCAGAACCATGCAAGGATGATAACGGTACAAAAAAGGTCTGGGAAGAAAAGTTGAAAAGACTTCATTTCCAATTAACCAGCAAAAAGCTGGGGTATAACTCAAGTGGTAGAATAGCAGCCATGAGCAAGAAAGCTGAGTGAGTCTAAAGTCCTGAGTTCAAGTCTAAGACCTAGAACCTGAAAAATAACAACAACCCAAACATACCCAAAAAGGGGGAAAAAAAATCCTTCAATCCCTATTGGTCACAAAGAAATGGGCAATGGGGCTGGGATGGTGGCTCAGTGGTAGAGCGCTTGCCTTGCATGTATGAGGCCCTGGGTTCGATTCCTCAGCACATAAGCAAAAAGAAAAAAGCCGGAAGTGGCGCTGTGGCTCAAGTGGTAGAGCACTAGCCTTGAGCTGAAGAGCTGAGGGACAGTGCCCAGGCCCAGAGTTCAAAAAGAAAAAGAAATGGCAAAATACATTAGAGGCCTACTTTAAGATATTAGCTTAAGCCAGGCACCTGTGACTCATACTTGTAATCCTAGCTACTCAAGAGGCTGAGCTCTGAGGATCAAGGTTCAAAGCCAGCCCAAGCAGGAAAATCCCAGTGAGAATCTTATCTCCAACTAATCACTCAAAAACCAGAAGTGGTGCTGTGGCTCAAGTGGTAGAGCGCTAGCCTTGAGCTGGAGAGCTTATGGATAGCACTTAGGACCAGAGTTCAAGCCCCACAACTGATGACCAAAAAAAAAAAAATCTTAGCTTAAGTCAAATATTAATCACTTAAATTGAGACAAATTATTGAAGCTTTTGGCTCCAAAAACTTGCCCTTCTAAAAGCCAAGTACCACTGTGGTACTCAAGGCAGTTCAATGTCCTTACCTTGCAGCCTACTATGCCTTTATTTTTATTGTTGGCTTCTTGTACAGCTTTTCTAGGCCATATACGGCCAACAAAAGGGGAGACCAGAGGGTATAAGTATGGTTCCAGGAATTTTTTGAAGATCCAGAGCAGAACTGGAATGACGATACAAGGAATGCACACCATTGTCCCAGGCTTGAGCTCTGAAACTGTTGATATAAGGGATAAAAAAAAATTAGCTCCCCATTGATGATTGAAGGACTTCAAGTTATTTGAAAGGATTATATTTATAGTGAAGGAAATACTTAAAATATGCAATTTGCCAAAAGCAAAGGTTTTTTAGATAAAACTGCTGTTACCTTATAGATAAGGTAAAGGAATAGGTGATAGATATAAACAGAGAGATGCCAGATGCCAACCTTCCCAATCATAAATCTGAATAAGACATCAACATTCAGTAGGTGCTAGATGGGCTACATGTGCCAATCTATTTAGTTCTCAAAAAACTCAAAGAGGCCAGGTGCCCTTGCTATCTTCATTTACAGACCAAAAGTGGAGACATAAAAACATAATGACTTATAGTCTATTTAGAGTGAATTAATTTCCAAGGCTCAATCTTCAGAGACTGACAGTATCAATTTGCCAAACCTAACAATGCTACAAGCAAAAAAAAAAAAAAAGTTACAAATCAATTAGCCTTTCCCATTCAACAGTTTCCCTTCTTTTCTTTTACTTTTCTTCTGTCTCCTAGCCCCCACAGAGCTGGAGATCAAACTTGAGGCTCTGTGCATGCTTATGCAAGTACTTTACCACTGAAGTACATTTCTAGTCCTTTTGTTTTTAGGTGTGTCAAGTAATAAAATTCTATTCAAAATCATATCGGTTAATTCTTCAGCTTCAGAATGGTACATAAGTCATATATCCCTGTGCATAATGCAAAAATGTTAAGACTTGTAAATTCCAAAATATTATAAAGTAGTACTGGCTGGAAAATAGCACTATCACTAAGCTTTTAAAAATTATTCATACTACAGGTTAATAAAGTTACAGATAACCTAATAATAATAAGAATGTAGCTTTGAAAATGAATCACAAGAAGTATAAACAAAAGTGAAAATTACATCAAGGAATGACCATCTATTTTACAAAGAATTCAATAAACTCTTTGAAACTTGGACAAATTAAAATGATTTTAAAAACTTGTCCAAGTAATGTGCTCCAAAAAGCATAAGGAACAAACGCTTTGATTGAAAGTCATACAAAACTAGGTGCTGGTGGCTCACAATTGTAATCCTAGCTAATCAGAATCTGAGAATACTGGTTCAAAGTCAGCCAGGGCAAAAAAGGTCCTGAGATTCATATCTCCAATTAATCACCAGTGGAGTGGAGGTGTGGCTAGCTCAAGTGGAAACGTGCTAGCCTTGAGGAAAAACACTAAGGTAAAGTGTGAGGTCGTGTATTCAAGCCTCAGTACACACACACACACACACACACACACACACACACACAGAGTCATGTGAGGTCGTGTATTCAAGCCTCAGTACACACACACACACACACACACACACACACACACAGAGTCATAGAAGCAGCGATTTTTTTTCCCCCAAGAATAATTATTTTTGGCTGATCTGAAGATTCTGAGGTGGTGTCTTGGGTCTCGCACTCTTAGGTACCACTGCACAATTTTGTCAGGTAGACTTAGCTGCCTAGACCTAATACTTATTTCACCACTTTCTGAGGGTGTTTCTGAGCAAATTAATTCCTTCACATGTAAAATAAAGGCAATGAAAGTACCCATCTCACAGACATGAAGTAAGGGTGTGACAATATGCTGTGGAAACAAGTATTACAAAAAGGAAAAGGAAGATCTGAAAGCTAGGACCTGTACTAAGTTCAACCAGCAGTGAACCATAGATCAACTGAAATTCCCAGTTCTGGCTTCCCAGCTCAAGACTCTCCTTGGCTTTTCCTCTTCCAAAATGCACAACAGTAACGTTCTTCCCCTTCTACTCAGCCCTCACAAAACTGGTGGTGCTACCTACCAGCCAGGCTAAACTGATGACTAGCAACCCATCATACTCATTTTTACCTTTGCCGTTGAGTATTTTAATAAGTCGTAAATAAATTCTCAAGGGAAAGTGCGACTATTCACTCAAGCCACAAGCATGGCTTTTATAAAACTTTAGCTCTTTTCAGAAAGAAGTCCTCTTTGTAGCACATTTCACACAAGAAACTATGAAACTACAAAGTGGCAAGGGCTCGTTGCCACTTTAACGGTTCTCCAAGCCAACAGAGTCAGAAAAATGGACTAAACGGCTGCAGAGGAATCTTCCACTGCCTTGGTCCTAGATGATTAGATAGACACATGGACACCCGGCAGGTAGGGCCGGAAAGCCATCGCCCTCCAAAGAAACCAGCGGAGTCAGACCAAGTGAGGGGCGACGACTGAAATGACCGGAAGGGTTCGGCAGGGAAGGGACATGGAGGCAGAGGACGAAACGGCCGCCTAGGAAGGAAGGCCGGCTGAGGAGGTTCCGGGCCGGACCCCGCGCCGATGCCGAGCTGGACCAGGGAAGGCTCGAGCGGGGATCGGCGCACCTCACGTATCGTGAGGGCCGGGAATGAAGGAGCGCCTCCGGGTTGGAGTCTGCGAGCCGCCGCGCCCAAGCGCCGCGGGAATGAGGAGAACAGGGGCCTCGCTGCACCCGAACCCAGTGGTACTCACCGCAAACCCGCTTTGCGATCCCGGAGCCCCCAGGCCAAGTCTGCACTTCACTTCCGGAGGGAGGGCCCAGCTGCTGCCAGCCAATTGGCAGCTCCAAAGGGCTGACAAAGGCGTGCTGCGTCAGGAGGACGTACAGGACGCAATGGTGACGCAGGGCCCTATCCTTGAGGGCGGGGCAGCAGAGCCTAGCTTCCTGTTGAGGAATTCAGTGCCTTCCAAGTGAGGAATGGGCTTGCGCCTGCCCTTCAAAGCTGGAGGGAGATTTAAAATGCATTCAGGAAATGACGCTGGCTGGAGCTCACTCCCTTGTAGTATTGTAGCCTGAGGGTTTCTTTGAGCTATTTACTAGATGAGGGGGCCTATGGCCCTAAGGCTGGCCTGACTCTAGCTTGTGTGCTTGGGATGAGAGGTCTGCACCGCCTCACACTACTTCATAAGCAGAAGAATTTGGGAGTCAACCACGTAAGCTTGGGGTACATAAATTCGGGTCAGGACACTGTTGCTTGGAAAAGGTGAGGGTACCGCAGGCGAAAACATACTAGAACTGCCTTTAGTATTCCAACCGCTCATCGAATGCTACCTACTATTTAGCGATTTGGGGTACATACCTGCGAGAAATGAAAATAATTCTTAGCTCACAGTACTATTTGTAAACTCAAGCGTTCACTGTAATGGGATTAAAAACGTGCTGGGACATAGGTCAGCTAGCAAGTGCATTGACCTGTTTAAACTGCAGCCACCCCCCCCCCAAAAAAAAGGGGGACTGGGAAGGTGGCTCAGTGGTCAGTGCTTGCCTTGCATGCATAGGCCCTGGGTTCAACTCCTTACCACCATATAAGCAGAAAAGGCTGGAAGTGTTGCTGTTTGTGGCTCAAGTGGTAGGGCCCTAGCCTTGAGCTGGAGAACTCAGGGACAGTGCCCCGGCCTAGAGTTCAGGTCCCACGACTAGCAAAAATATTTTTAAAAATTAAAAACATATAGGGCTGGGAAGTTGGCTCAGTGGTAGAGCGCTTGCCTTGCATGCCTGAAGCCCTGGGTTCCATTCCTCAGCACCACATAAGAAAAAAGCCGGAAGTGACACTGTGGCTCAAGTGGTAGAGCACTAGCCTTGAGCTGAAGAGCTGAGGGACAGCGCCCAAGCCCAGAATTCAGGCCCCACGACCGGACCCAAAAAAAAAAAAAAAAAAAAATTAAAAACATATATATGGTTAACATGTCCAAATCTTGAAAATGCAGTGAAGGCTAGTGCCAACAGGCCATATGCCATATACCAATTTTCTTCAAAAGTACTGAAATAGGATGGGTGCAGTGCAAGCGAGTTAATCACAAGGCTAGTGATGGATGCATGGCTGAGTACATCGACACTGCACTATAAATCGGTGAACTGTACCTCTTTTTTTGGGGGGGGTCCGGTCGTGGGGCCTGAACTCTGGGCCTGGTCCCTGTCCCTTAGCCCTTCAGCTCAAGGCTAGCACTCTACCACTTGAGCCACAGGGCCACTTCCGATTTTTTTTATTTTGCTTATGTGGTGCTGAGGAATCGAACCCAGGGCCTCATTCATACAAGGTAAGCCCGCTACCACCGAGCCACCTTCCCAGCCCAACTGTTCCTCTTAGTAAATCTCAAAGGAGTGGACCAGAAATACTCTTGGCTGGTAACTTATGCTCGTAATCTTAGCTAAGGAAGCTAGAGGTCCAAGGACAAAGCAAGCAGCCTTTCACAAGACGTCTTCTCAACTTAGCTGTGTTGTGGGAAGCCCCCTGATTTCAATGGGAGATTCTGAAAGGGTATCTCAAGACACTATAAAACAGATATCAGTCCAGGCAGTGGACAGGGACACTCAAAAGGGGTAACTCAGAATTAGCCCATAGTACAGTACCTATCTGGCAAACAAGAGGCTCTGAATTTAAATCCCATTACCCTCCCTCCACCCATGTTCTTATATAAAAAAGGCATCAGGATTCAAAACTTGTTTGGGCCAGCCCTATCTAACAGGGAGGATAAGCATGTCAAGCTCAGGAAGGTTAAGAAACACGTTTGTAAGTCTCCAGAATGGCCCCAGCCATTAACTGTATGGTGCTGCACATCTATAATCCCAACAACTCAGTAAATGAAGCAGGGTTGCCAAATTCAAAGCCAGTCTGGGGGGGCTGGGAAGATGGCTCAGTGGTAGAGCACTTGCCTTGCATGCATGAGGCCCTGGGTTTGATACCTCAGCACCACGTAAGCAAAAAGAAAAAAAAGCCATTAGTGGCACTGTGGCTCAAGTGATAGAGTGCTAGCCTTGAGCTGAAGAGCTGAGGGACAGCGCTCAGGCCCAGAGTTTAGGCCCCATGAAGGGACCCCCCCCAAAAAAAACCCAGCTTGAACAGACCCCAACTAAGCAAAAATAATTGTGGCTAATTTTAATAAGAAGAAACCCAAACACGTATAAAATAACAATAACCAACATTGATTTATTTGCGTTTATTTTATGCTAAATTTATTCCCGTGCCATAAGTTTTTGTTTCTTCAGTTTCTTCTGGGATACCTGGGCAAAGAAGAAAGACCATTAAGTTTCTAAGAAACACATTAAATTTTACAAGACTTCAGTTTATCCTCAAGTCAAGAGCAGAGGCAGTCCTGCTGTTATTAACAACTATAGGGGAATAAGGCCCAAGGGGCTGATATGTAAGTACCAAAATCATCGAATTTAAATTTAGTTATGAGGAACAAAGCATAGAATCAGTAACAGGTCTTTGCTTATCACTTGCTAAAAACAAGTTTATCAGATTTTGAAGCAAGTGTTGGACTTGATGCATTTAACACAAAGTTTACAAAAATACTGTAGTCAGGAGGGTTGCTCAGAATAAGTTTCCTTTCATGGTTATTCCAAAGGTGTCCTAAGATAGTCATCACAGCAACCCTGTCTTTCTAATATTGTGCACAAATCAACTTACCTTTTTCTTCTGTGCAACCTCCTCCTCTGGTTTAGGAACAATTTGCTCCTTCTCAGTAAGGATCATCTCAATGTGGCAGGGGGAGCTCATGTATGGGTTAATCCTACCATGGGCTCTGTAAGTTCGGCGGCGCATCTTAGGTGCTTTGTTCACCTGGATGTGTTCAATGACCAGGGAGTCTACATCTAAACCCTGGAACAGTAGAGAACAAAATTAGGCAATATCTCTAATTTTTTATACCATTAAATGCATCACTGGCAAAAAAAAAAAATCATGCCAAATTCTTGCCTGAACAAAATTTGAATAGCTGTCTTCCAATGGGTAGTTAGTTGAAGCAGAGACCTTTTTCCTCTTAAGTGGTAATTAATTATAACCCAAATGGAGAAGTTTTCATCAATTATATTGCTAATTTATAATTGTTTTTCACTATAAATGCAGGCCAATAAAGCATATTGATAAAGCACTTTGGTAATTAGCCACATCAACAATAGGTTCAAAACAAAAAGCAAACTATATCAACCTTGTGCTAAATTTCTAAGGCCTGTCACTCGATGGGCAAACATTCTTACCATTTTCTACATCCCTAACCCAGGAAACAAATTTCTTTTATTAAGTGCAGGGAACAAGGTATAACTATATTACAGGTGTGTAGATTGTTCATGAGCTTCTTCACGTTTGTTTTCAGTCATGGGGCGTGAACTCAAGACTCTGAGTGCCGGAGTTTTTGTTGTTTTTCCCACTCAAGGCCAGTGCTCTACCACTCGAACCAAAGCATCACTTCTGGTTGGCTTTGAATCGTCTCCTGAGCAGCTAGGATTACAGGCCACCATCACTCAGGCCACACTATTTCTTGAAAAGCTTTTCTCATAGTCTAGCCTGGCCTTCAATTCCTAATCTTCCTGCTTTCACCCCACAAATACTGGCAATAAAGACAACCACATCCAGAATTTTACACAGAATTTTGTAGTTAGAAGGCAGCAACTCTTAAAAATCTACATGAGATTTAAATAACCAGGACAACTGAAGACATAAATGTGGACCATCTAAGTTGCACATACATAGATGTGAATACGTTGTGTACCTTCAGTTCTGCATTACTCTCTGCATTCTTAAGCATGTGCAGCAGAAATTCAGCACTCTTTTTGGGCCACCGACCCTGTGTCCAGCCCCACTGTTTGGCCTGGAAGAAAATAAAGGGAAACAAATTACTTTCTTTGGTTTAAATCTACATTAGAATCAAGGTGGAATGTTTAACCCAACACAAAGGTTGCTCAGAACATGAGTTATTTCATGGTTAATCCAAAGGTGTCCTAAGATTGTCATCACAGCAACCAAAAGTGACAGGTTTAGCCATTTCTATCCAATCACCTCTACAATTTTCTCCCCCAAAGAGTTGGATTTCTCACCTGGGCACACCTGCCAACTCCACCATTGTAACGCCGGAATGGCACACATTGCTTCTTTAACGTGACATCTTTCAGATACTTGGTCGCTTTTCGGATATGCATACCCTTGATGGCCTGGGCTGTTTCTCTGGTGTTCTAAACACAAGTAATAAGTTCTGGTAAACTGAGATAAAGCATTATCAGGTTTTTTTGTTCAACTGGGAGATACATATGATTTTAAAAAGCTAAGGAAAACCTCAAATCTCCATCAAGTGTAAAATAACAGTTTCAACCTGATCTTAACCTGCACAAGTCCAAGTAGCTCTCTGGTTATTTAAGTTCATAAACCTCAAGTCAACATGCTCACTAAACACCAGTGTTCAATGTCTAGATACAAAGGTAGCTGCTCAGAAGTGATTTAGTTTTCACGGTAAATCCAAAGGTGTCCTAAGAAAGCCATCATTGCAGTTACCACCTGAAGGGAAGAAATAGCAAATATGTATGTAGATAAGAACTCTTGTATCTTATAGATCGTCTATTCCTTACCTTAAAGTGTACACGAAGATTGGAACCTCTTGACTTGCATGCTAAAAAGCATAAAAAGTTGGTTAATGTCAGGCACGGTTCACATCCACTTCAAAATAATACGTGTATTTATATATTTAGATATACTTACATTTTGTGGGGTTTTCTGGGTCTAGAGAGTAGCGAACCATTTTCACAGGTCACCTTGAAAAAGAGTATAGTGTAATTGTTGAGAGTGCTAATGCAGCTGAAGTAGTTTCCATTGCTACCAACTGCTGCTCAGAAATAATTGTTTTCATGATGAATCCAAAGGTGTGCTAAGAAATGCCATCATCGCAGCCATTCCTTCCCCCACCCAGTGTTCTCAACGCTGACCCACGAAACAGTGGACGAAACAGTGACACGGACCACACATCCTCAGTATTGGGAGAGGGGACCCCAAGATCCTGTCTTTCGGGCCAGAATGACGCATTGGCAGGGCAAAACCCAACCACGACCTCTCACAGACACAACCACGCATCCTTTCCCCACAATAGCCTTTTGCAAAGAAAGGTCGGACAGGCCGCACTTTGCTAAGTGGAGTCGACCCTGCCTGCCCCCTCAAACGTCCTCGGCCACCACTCACCGCAGGGCAGTGCGCAAAGGGGGTCGGTTCGACCCCCCGGCGCTCCTACTCCAGCCTCGGCCGGCCAACCCAATTCCCGTCTATCATGCTCCGGTGCCGGCCGGGTAGGCCCGCCGGACCCGGCGCGCCACGGAACGCGCTCCACCATAGAAAACGCCGCCTCGGGCGAGGAATCGTAGTCATGGGGATTCGGCTGCCAGACACCCCAACGCTGGCGACCCAGAGGCCAGGATGGCGGAGATGACCGCTGGATTGAGCACTCGGAGCGCGACCACCGAGAAACACTCACCTCTGGCCGCTTACAGGAAGAGGAAGAGCAGGGGCTTCTGGGAGAATTCATGGCACCTCAACCTCTCGCGAGATTTCTAGCCGAGGAAATGGGATCTGAGGCGGGGAGGAGGGCGGAGAGTGAAAGGGAGTGTGGGAGGTGTCTGAAGAATTTCTGAACACGAAATGCCCTCTTAGGGATCGTCTCGAAATTCTCTCTTTTTAGATCCAGAAATAGGATTATGGATTGAAAGTATCCACTGAAAAGAAGTAATCTTGGCACTTGGGAGAGTGAGGAGGCAGGTGGCTTGCAAGTTCGGGCCAGCTGGCTGGGAACTCAGTTCCAGGTTAGAAAAAAGAAAAAAATAAACATAGCGAGTCATGTTGGTCCAGGTTTGTAATCCCAGCTACTCGGGAGGCAGGAAGATCCCAAATTGGAAGCCTGCCTGGGAAGTTTCGTGAGTCCCTGTCTCAAAATAACTTTAATTTTCAACTTTTATTGCAAACTATTTCAACTACACTAAAATGAATTTTTTTTATTTCCTTATTTTTTAGTCGGTCGTGGGGCCTGAACTCTGGGCTTGGGCACTGTCCCTCGGCTCTTCAGATCAGACTAGTGCTGTACCTCATGAGCCACAGCACAATTTCCGGCCTTTTCTGTTTATGTGGTGCTGAGGAATCGAACCCAGGGCCCCATGCATGCAAGGCAAGCGCTCTACCACTGAGCCACCTTGCCAGCCCCAAAATGAAATTTTTGAAAGGGGCTAAGGATGCACTTTGGTGGTTAAGCACTTATCTAGCATGTTTGAGCACTGAGTTCGATTCCTAGATCGAGATGAGGGAGGGAGAAACAATCTTTTAATTCTAAGGACCGTGTGTTAGCGAGTAAGAGTGGGAGATTTGGTTTAGTCAATCTGTGTACTTTCGTCGGGCTTTTTCGTGTGTGTGTGTGTGTCTAACACCCAGGAGGAAGTTGCAGTTAAGAAGATAAAAGGAATCAGAAAGTTCTCCGGATTGGAATTCCCCAAACAATTGAATCTTAAACCAGCGAGCAGAATGTACGAACTGAAATCTTCAAATCTTCATTATTGCTCTGGGTCTTTCTGTTGCTTTCCTCTCAGCCAGTGTTGGTAGAGCCTGACTTGGTGTTAGGTCTCACATTTCTGTTTCTTTTTTTTCTTTTTTTTTTTTTGGGGGGGGGGGTGGTCCGGTCGTGGGGCCTGAACTCTGGGCCTGGCGGCTGTCCCTCAGCTCTCCAGCTCAAGGCTAGCGCTCTACCACTTGAGCCACAGAGCCACTTCCGGCTTTTATTCTTTTTGCTTATGTGGTGCTGAGGAATCGAACCCAGGGCCTCATGCATGCAAGGCAAGCGCTCTACCACTGAGCCACCTTCCCAGCCCCGTATTTCTGGTTTTATTCTAGGCAGTTCATACTCATACTTCAGGTGAAAGAACTGTAGGCAATGCCCTCAGTTCACTTGGTTCCCCATTCGCAATTCCCAAACCCTCAAAACCTTCACATCTACTCCATTCCCAGTGCCAAATGCTGGGTTCTATGATCTGTCTTTTCCTTACAGGTTTTAAGTGCAGGCTAACCCACAAATGTCTTTCTCCTGACCTAGACCCAGATATCAAATTACTTTTGGGTAGATGCTTTTCCTGGGGTCCCAAAGAATATGTCATTCACCTTTACACTGAAGTCTTGGCTTGGGGAGATAGCTACACATTTGCCTAACAATTGTAGGTGAGGTCTAAGCTCCTACCCCAGCCCTGCAAAACAACAAAACAAACCCTATACACATTGCCTCTTCACCCTTTCTACCACTCCATGAACACATGAGAACATGTTCTAGTCTTCAAATTTCTTGCAATTTTTTTTTTGTGGCCTAGTGCTCGTCCATTTGAGCCACATTTCTAGCTCCCTGGAAATATATCTTGAATATTGATTGATTAGCTTTATCTTATTATTATTATTTTTTGGTATTGGTACTAGGGCTTAAACTCACTTTTTCTTTGTTTTTGCTAAAGGCAGGTACTTTACCACTTGAGACACACCTCCACTCCTAGCTTTTTGATAGTTACTTGGAGATAAAGGATCTTAGGAACTTTTCTGCTGGAGCTGGCTCCAAGCCCCAATTCTCTGATTGCAGCCTCCAAAGTAGCTAGGATTAAAGGTGAGAACCACCAGTGTCCAGCTCTGCCCCCCTCATAAAAAGTTTATGAGAAAACTTAATAGGCATGTTGTGTATTTCCTGTTGAGTCATCTCAAGATGAATATGTTATCTAATTATTTCATTATTACTGATGTTAAAGTTACCAAATGAGTTCAGGAGTTACCAGTTTGTTCTGTTCTTCATAAAGTTCCACATTAACTATTCAACTGATGGCTTTAGTAAGTATCTGGAATTCATTGCCTAAATCCGATGTTTCATCAAAGATTAGATTACATAATGGAATTGGGAATGTGGCTTAAGAAGTAGTACTTCCTCCATCCTCAAGGCCCTAAATTCAAACCAGTACTATCCAAAAAAAAAAAAATTTTTTTTTTTTTTTGGGTCCGGCTGTGGGGCCTGAACTCTGGGCCTGAGCGCTGTCCCTCAGCTCTTCAGATCAAGGCTAGCGCTCTACCACTTGAGCCACAGCGCCACTTCCGGCTTTTTTTTTTTTGCTTATGTGGTGCTGGGGAATTGAACCCAGGGCCTCAGGCATGCAAGGCAAGTCCTCTACCACTGAGCCACCTTTCCAGCCCCCCAAAAAATTTTTGAGTGTTGATTTTCAGTCTTTCCATCAGCATTTGTGTGTGTGTGTGTGTGTGTGTGTGTGTGTGTGTGTGTGTGTGCACACGCGCACACACGTGTTAGTTCTGAGGCTTGAACTCCGGGCCTGGGCACTGATCTTGAGCTTTTTTGCTCAAGGCTAGAGCTCTACCACTTGATCTACAGCTCACTTCCAGATTTTTTGGATGATTAATTGGAGATGAGTCTCATAGACTTTCCTGCCAAGGTTGCCTTTGAACTATGATCCTCAGATTTCAGTCTCCTGAGTAGCTAGGATTATAGGCATGAGCCACTGATGCCTGGATGCCGGGAACCAAGTGCTGTTTGCTAAGAAAATACAGCTACTACCTTTGATAAGACCTGTTAAGCCTGGGGCCTACCCATATCCTATTTGACAACATTGATGGCGCCTTCTGGAGATTCCCCACCTTTTGCAAGATATATTTTGCGGTTTTGGTGCCTAGCAACCCTATGGACCTGCTGATGTTAATTACCCTGCTCAGCATGCTATATATACTGCCGAGTAAAAAATAAAGTTTGAGACCTTGATCAGAACTCTGTCTTGCTCTCCTTCCTCGAGTCTGGTTTGTCTCTCGTTCAGGTCAGTTCCTCTTCGAGCCCTTGTTGACTGACCCCATGGCTGGGGCAGGTGGCGCCCAACGTGGGGCTCCGATTGAGCGGCCGCTCTTTTCTTCTTGGATCTCCACCCAGCCGGTAAGTGAAGATCCACATCGTGATCACTGCAGAAATGCCCGACTGCAATACAGATCCACAAGGTAAGGGGGGCCACGCAATTATGGGACAAACACTTAGTAAGCATGAACTTTTTGTCCAAGGCCTAAAAGCCTCACTCAAAGCACAAGGAACACGGGTTAAGAAAAAGATTTAACTCAATTTTTTTTATGCTCCTGGAGGATATTTGCCCCTGGTTTCCTCAGGAGGGCACTATAGAAGGTGGGGTCGAGTTGGAGACTCTCTTAAGGATTATTATGAAACTTTTGGCCCTGAAAAGAGTCCTGTTCAGGCTTTTTCATATTGGAACCTCATAAATGAGATCCTCCAAGTTCCCAAGTTCGCCACCAACACAAAGATGTGTCTAGAGTGGTTAAGGAAGGTGAAGAATTTTTAAAACATAAATTTAAGGGGAGTCAGGCCTCCCTTGCCCAAAGACCCCTCTCCCATCCACCCTCAGTCGCATCCCATTGTCCCTTGGTTTCCATACCGATGCCTGACGCTAACAGCGACTCACAATTACAAAAACCAAAATCTATATACCCGGTTCTTTCTAATCTCAGATCCGAAAAGCCCAATGATGATGTCCTTCCCCCGGAGGACAAGGCCACTTTGGAAGAGGAGGTTGCTAAATACCACGCCTCAGATTGGCCCCCTCTAAACCCCTTGGGCACACGACCTCCTCCCTATAAAATAGCCCCTCCCTTCTGTGCCCCTCCCTTGGCCTCTTCAACAGACCTTGAGGAGGTCAGCAGACAAGCCACAGTTAAGCTTTCCCGGGAAGCCTAGTCCTTAAGGGCCCTACTTCAGGCCAAGAAGGAAAAGGCCCAACTATTACAACAACTATATAAATTGGACCTAGAAATTAGGAACCCAAACTTACAAAAATTAACGACAAAAAAGGAAAAGATCCTTCATGCTTTTCCAGTCACTCGGTCT